GCTCTCCGCCGCACCCGCTGTCTCCCGCACCCGCTCTGCTCCGCCGCACCCGCTCTGCTCCGCCGCACCCGCTCTGCTCCGCCGCACCTGCATTGCTCCGCCGGCGTGCCTCACCCTCTCATTGCTTCTCAAGGTATTATTAGATAGTTGTTCAGTTGTTTAGGGTTTGATTAGGGTATTTCATCTTCTTTTTTCTTCACCCTCATGATGTTAATTTTTTGAACTGAATTAGGTTTTTGGTTGAAATGTTTTTGATTAGGGTTGAATTGATTATTGTTTTCTTAAAATGTTACCCATGAAATTGTTATGTGAAACTGTGTTGAGGTTTAAATTGATACCGTGTTGTCAAATAAATGTTTTTTGGTTGAAATGTTTTTGATTAGGTTAAAATTGATTAGGGTTGAAATTGTTATGCTCGGTTACTGTGTTGTCAAATAAATTTTGTTGAAGTTCTTTCATGTATCATGCTTCTTAAAATGTTTTGTCTTCCAAATCTCTGTCAATATCCTCCTTTTGGCACCTTTTTTTTAATCAAAAACATTTTTGTACTGTTGATCTTGTTCTTGTTCTGTTGGCCTTGTTAATTTCACCGACTTAAGCATTCAGTGATTAAGTTGCCCTGCCTTGTCATGAAAACGTTATTTTATACACGGTTTGGTTACTTAATGGGGAGCTGAGGTTAACTGATTTTATCTAGGTGCTTAGTTTGAATGTAAAATCTCTTGGTTTTGCAAACATGATATACTTGATGGTGGTGTGGATGAACGCGCGTCGTTCGACTTTGTAAAAGAATGATGTTTTTGGTTGAAATGGGGAGGTATCGAATTAGGTTTTTTATTAAGGTCGAATTGATTATGGTTTTCTTCACTGATTTTTTTATTAAAATTTTCTCGATTTCAACTCCAATCTCATTCGAATGGGGTACTACTGACCCGACATTTTTATTTTTATTTTATTGTAATTGTAGGTTGTCTCTTCATGAATTAGCATTCACCTCTTAAAGTGATGTGTTCAATTTGGCGATTTTCAATTTTTTTTTCAGGCATTTATCGGTGGAGAGGAATCGATCCACGTACATCCGGCTTTTCCCCGAAACTGAACTAGTTTCCTTCCACAATCACAGAGTGACATCATAATGACTTCTCCTATTGAGGTTAGTTTTTTTTTTTTTTTTTTATTTCTTATTGCTCAAAAATCACTAGTGTTTCATTTTTTTTGTTTACTTTGCTTGGTTAACAAATAAGGTTATACATTTCTTTCTAAATTATGTATTTACTTTGTAGTTGTATTAACTTTAATTATGTTGAACATCACAGGATAATAATTGGCAATGGAGGTGGGATAGCTCTCGCAATTGGATGGGTAAAGTCAACTGTCACACGAAGCCTGAGGTCATTCACCATATCAAAGAAAGGCTATCATCCAATCGTCTGGCAGAATTTGAACGCTCTTGTTTCGGTCACTTCTTGAAATTCCATGACAATGCTTATAACAGTGGCAAATTACTTTTGGCACTGTTTGGGAGAGAGGTAAAGGTGGACAACTCTCGGGAAAAAGAACGTTATTATCGGATTGGTGGTCGCAATCACAAATTTGGAAAAGAAGAGTTTTGCGCGATTACCGGGTTAAGATTTGGCAGTTCGGACTTTGACCCAGATACCAATGAGAGCCTCCCACCGGCTAATGGAGTTTACCGTCGATATTTCGACGGTAAGATTGTGCTCGGAAAGGATTTGTTGTCTAAGTTTGTTCAACAACAATTTG